ATTGCTCGGGCCTGTGCGAAACCCGCCACCCCAAAAACCTGCAGTGTCTTGTGTCTGGACCTCTAGGCCCTGTCCGGTGGGGTGAAACGACATTGAAAAATCAACCCATTATTTTTCTAAGGGCGGCCAGGACCCGATAAACGTCCTGGGCCGCTCCAATTTTTTTTTTGATTTTTGCCCCAGAGGCCTCAATCCAGACATATTGTCCAGACACCGGACACCGGACTGTCTGGAACCCGGTCCGGACGTCCGGGCGGTTACCATGAAAAAAAAGTGAAAACATTTCCTCCGGGAATCCTCGGGGCGTCCTCGGGCTACAGCCATTTTGTGGCCTTCCCCAAGGTACCTCCTGAAGTCCCTCGGAGGTCAAGGATCCGCAACAATCGGAGCGGCGAGGGCACCCGTCGTCAGCAAGAAATTTTCGTCGGCTGGTCCATTGGATTTCCTATCGGGCGGGTCTTCAACGTTCAGCTTCCAGGAACCATATGCCAACGGTAACCGTTGGTGGCCGGCCGGCCCCCGCGGAAGTCGTCGACCAGTGTTCTGCCTCGCAGTGTGTGCCACCAAACGGAAAGGGGTTGAACGGTCGGCAAATTTGAATATTTTAGCCGACCCAAGTTTCTATTCCCAGCTGTGTTCCACGACGCAAAACATTAGGACGGTGTTTGTCCGATTCTGCGCCGTTTGCTGCCCTCTTTTCGCCACCGTTTGCTGGAGGCGTACCTGCGCGGTGTAGTTATTGCCCTTCCCCACGTGTTGTTCATGGCCGATGTCTTCCGAAGGCTGCCGCTGCTGTTCCTGGTCGTCATTGTGCTTGTCCTTCTTATTGTCTTCCACATCTGCATCCTCGGCAGGCTGCCTGGACGCACATGCAAGAGACGTTCTGCGAAGAAGGGCGTCACCATGGACGGACGGCAGACGAAGAGCAAGTCTTCAGTGGACCACTCCGCGAGCCACCGCGCAGGCCACATCCCGGCTCGCAGGGCAAGGGCGTACGACCCGTTAGAGTGTGTGTGTCGTATGCTGTCCTCTACTGTTTGCTCCCTTCATCGTCGCTGTTCAATGGACCTTCACCATTGTCGTGAAGTTACGGCCCTGTCGTATGTGTCGTTGATGGCCAACCTCTATTGAAGGTTGCCACTGGTGCTCCTAGTCACAATTTTGTTTGTCGTGGTCCTCCTGTTCCACGTGTTCATCCTCTATCGTTGATGGCCGACCTCTACCGAAGGCTTTCAGCAGAGAAGACGAGGGATCGACACCGACTGCAGTCGACATCGACATCGGCAGCTCGTCCCGCAGGCATTCATCCACACTGGATGCAATCGCCATCGCCCGAAAGACACGTGGCGGCATATGCAGCTTCTCCCAGAAGTACTCCTCCGTCGCATCATCGCATTGCCTGAGATCCTCCCACGCCCCCCCCCATCCTCCTTTTCATCCACCACCTCGGTGTCGCTCGTGGAAGAACACTGCAACCCATGGTGCAGCAAACGTGAACTACAGCCTCGGTGATGGCCACGGTATCCAGCCCTTCGGTCGGGACTTGATGAAGCGTCTTCCTCCTCCACGCGAGGATCTGCGCTCTCATTCTGCCCAATGCCCTCACCTGCTGACAACGAAAGAGCACTGCCATCAGGGCCGCCGCCACGGCCGTCTTCTCGATCGTCGTCAACTTCGCATGTCCGCATGTCTGTCGTCGCTGCCGCCCTCCATTGGCATGTGTGTTGCAATGCTCATGAACCACGAAAATACAACAGCCTGCCAACTCGCCACGACCATGGGAACCTCAGCGCCAAGTCGCCGACGAAGTTCCCCGCGTGTGCTTGACTCCACACCATACTTGCAACCGCACAGCGCGCCGCACCATCCGGTGCACCGTACGGGGTCCGGTCCGGGACCGCCCCAACCTCCGTACAGGCCCGTACCCGTACCGTACAGGACCGCACAGGGCCGCGCGCTGTTGGGTGCGGCCATATCCCGTCTGGATTTTTTTTTTTTTTTTTTTTTTTT